GAGAGAGAGAGAGAGAGAGAGTGAGAGATTGAGAGAGAGAGAGTGAGAGAGCTTCAAAAAACAAAAAGAGAGATAGAGAGTGCGCGCGCGAGAGACGCATTTCACCATAGGGAAGGAGAGGGGTGGGAGGACTCGCGAGAAACCGACACTCGCGTACGTGTTAACACACACGCACGCGCGCGCCCTACGTTCCCTACATCTTAGCACGACTCCAAGTGCTCCGCTCCGGACTTTAATACTTCCGCGCGCTTCTCCTCCTCCATTATTGTTTTTCATAATTTTGCCTTTTGCTTTTTGTTCTTTCTTGTTTTTGTTTTTTGCTGGCAGCGCGATCTATAATTTGTCCTTCCGTTTTCCTACTGTGGAAATTCTTGCGCGCACGTACGCGGACAGCTACTAGCGCCATGTATATCATTACACTAGTATTCTCCGGGGCACTTAATAGTCTGCATAATTATGTTAATGCATTCGTACATCCCATTTAATTTTGAATTATACGTAATATATTTACGAGGCCTTCCGAAGCTATTTATGGGTAGGCAGGAGATTTGTACATTACGTTTGCAATACACGTACGTATCGTATACCTGAGCATGCGCTCATGAACAATACAATCAGTGCTTGTTGTTTTTTTTTTTTTTTTTTTTTTTTTTTTTTTTTAATCTATTATCTGCGCTATTGTGATAACTCCGAACGAAAGTCTGATCATTTATATTTACGCCCATCATTCCATAGTTTGTAGATTGAAAATGTTTGACCCGATATAATAAAGTACAAATATCCCCGTCGGTTTGACTTTATTAATGTTTCATATGACTAGTTAATAACGCAACTTAATGCGATGCTCCGACCACAATGAGGCAAATTTATTGCATCTTCTTAAGCGCTCTTGGCAATCTCATATTCTCGCGATACCCTACTCGTTTCACTATTATTGTACATTTTTAAGAGGCTACGAGGAAATAATATTATTGTTCGTATTATTATAATGGTTAATAACGACTGTCCTGATGGCATTTCACAATGCAGTAATGCGGCACCATCGACTTCGCTGACATTCTAATCAACTCGAGGATTTTAATCTACGGAAACTAGTTTGGCTTTATTGCCGAAAACTGATGCGGCGCGATAAGATAAGATAAATAAGACGCGAGAGTGTACTTCGGAAGGCTCGCGTAATTTTGTCCTCGCGCGAAGCCTTGGCGCGTCAAGGTGCTCTCGGATTAATGACAAGTCAAGAGGAACGGAACGACGCGAGCCAAATAAACGACAGCGAAGACAAATAACGAGTTTAACGAGGCTTAACCCCTTATACGCCCTACTCCCCTCCCCGAAAACGCCGTAACTCTCAATCTCGCTATGTTTCTCTCACAAAAGCGTCTCGGGGCTGCACTTCCATGTGGTCGGCGAGGGCGTCGTACGGGTGCGCAGCCAGAGGGCCGAGCGGGTCTACGACAAGGAGAATTACATCGACTTTCGGATGAGGTTACTCGGCGAGCCAGGTAAGTTAATCGATAAGTAATGGGTCCCGAGTCGCCAGACATTATCCTACCGTTGTCCACTAAGCAGGGGATGGACCATCGCTCTTGTCGCCCGGCATCCACAGCTTCCCCTTCAAGCTTGGCCTGCCTCTGGGACTACCGTCCACCTTCCTGGGTAAGCACGGCTGGGTGCAGTATTACTGTAAGGCCGCGCTTAGGGAGCCCGGGGGCCTCGTTCACAAGAACCAGCAGGTCTTCATCGTGATGAACCCGATCGATCTTAACCTCGAGCCTCCAATTCTGGCGGTAAGTCGAATACGCTCGGTTACTACACGAAAGTGCCGTGGTCGGCTTTTCGCGATGAGTCGAAAAACCGCTGTTGTACTTAGCTCTTGAATGGTTGGTTTGATTAAGCTGATGGTGGGATGGGATAGGTTTGGTGGGGTAGGATGGGTGGGGTAGGATAGGTGGGGTAGGATTGGTGGGGTCCCCCCATTTGCTTTGGAGCCACGTGTCTTCTTCGCTACCACGACCGTACATGACCAATAATTGGCGCGATTTAGTAGCGGCCCATTTCCGTGTGAAAAATTTCATTAAATCCAATTTGACTGCAGGCGGGGGGTCATTATCCGTGCAAGATCGCAAATGGATTTGTATAGAGGGCGGGGCTGCAGGTCGAGAGGTCAACGCGTCACGTCGACGAACGTTAGGTAATACCTGACTTGCCTCCCGCATCCTTTTCCATTGTGCGGCTAATTATCGTACGAGATCTTCCGTTGGCCCGGAGCCCTTTCCAAGTAATTCGTCGTCGTTGCCGGGCCACAGTCCCGTTTTCCAATTGCTCGGGAGATTGCCAATGGCGTGGGGATGGAGGAGTACCGAACAGAAATTGGACTCTAGCCTTCCTGCTAGTCGGATTACACCTCGAAAATTTGCAGTACCTGGACGGGATGCAGCTGATTCGGAATAACAATATATATTGATAGGGGCATAAAGTTTCTCGGGTGTCAATGTTACAATTATATCGATCTGGACTTTGCCGGTATCATCTACTCGGTGATAATTCAAGGAAATTGAGACCCCAGTCCTTAGTTACATCTCCATTCCAATGTCGATTGTAATTTCATATGACTCATTGCAATAAGACAGATGCACATATTGTCTGTATTCGTAAACATTAAATGATTGTTTAATAATAATGTGATATTCTCACGCTCAGTAAATAATACAAATAGTATTATTAACGTTATGCCTGTTCTAATGAAATATTATTATTTATTCGATGCTCGTCGCTAAGATTATCGATCGTATGATTTATAAAGTAAGTGCGTGTAAACAATTTGTAGATATTAATGATATTTACATTGTTTTTTTTCTTCTAATATTATAATTCGTTGGTTTTTAAATGTTCACTTTTCGCTCCACTCGCTCGCGCGTATATATTCGACATATCTGGTAAAACACATACGCGAGCCATATGTCGTACATGCTACTCGCGTAAATACATTCATAATGTATTTACTCAGAAAGCGTAACGAATGTTTTCCCACCTTCTTACACATTATTATTAAATACGTAGTGTTGGTGCCATTGCTACTCACAACAAATCATAAAACTTTCTAATTAATTCAGTTCCACATAAATAAAAGTCTAACAATTCGACGATATAACACTACCACCACGAGATCAATTAAATACGACAAAGCAGCTGAATACTAAAAACGAAAGAGAAAAAAGAAAAGAAAAGAAAAAAATGGAAGAAAAAACCAAAAAAAAATTAATTTTTAATGAAAACATTACATCGCGAGTCATGTATGTGAAGGGATTTATATACGATTTCATAAAAATGCCGATATAATATATTATTTGTAATTCGTAATATCGAAAGTATCCATGATGGTCGAACAGTTGTTCAGCTCAAGAAACTTGAACAATGCCTTATAAGAAAAGCCACAACCGATTCCTTAGAGATGGAGCCTTTTGACTCTCCCATGAGAATATTTTCTATATGCCTTGAGCCACGTATACGCACAATTTGTAAATTCCCGATGATGAATTGATATGAGCTTGGAGAACCGAATAAAGAAGCCTCGTATACGTAAGAGCAAGTATTACATAACTATTAACGCCTACGCATTAACTATTGGCTCTAATCTGAATAATTAATATGCAACATAGTATGCAAGTCCTACGTATATTAGAATTGCCGAGATGACTTAAAATTATTCAATTCCATTAAAATCTTAGAATGTAGTTGTGGCCGCGCGTTATTATTATTTCGAGTTTGACTTCTTGAGCGCTAAAGCTAATTATGCACGCGTGCACTTGAAAAGATGAGTATTTTTTACAAAATATTGTTTGTAATTATTTCGAGCTCGAGTAATGTGTAGGGATGCCGCATGGTAAGCCATGGCGGCAGATATTTCATTAAAAGACATCATCAAAAAAATTTCAAAATTTATATTAAATTCGCTAATTATATAAATATCACATTCCGAGATTGTGCAATAATTAATTTGAACAAAAGTATATTTAAATGTTGAGCAAAGAATCTTTCGCGTCTAAACATAAGTGCAAACGCGGCAAACGTTCTCCTTCAGTATGCAAGACTCTCCTTAATATTTTATTTATTTATTTATGCTTTCAAATGTCAAAATGCCACGTACGTACTACAGATACATAATAAATATAAAAAAAGTAAGTACAATTGAGATGTACTCATGTATTTTTATATTAAATGTAATATTGTGCGATAAACTTGATTAAAAGTGAATATTTATTACATGTGAGCGAGCATAAAAGCCAAACGCAATCTTATCGTCTGCTGAATAATTTGTAATGCTATCGTTATATTATATATATATATATATGTATATATATATATATATAGAGAGAGAGAGAGAGAGAGAGAGAGAGACGAGTTAATTGACATTTTCTGTGTAATACGCGCGGTATTTTGACTTGGGAGAGTTAATTACTGGGAATAATACTGATGGAAATGTGGGAATCGGAGGTGGCGGTATGTAAGGTATGAGAGCCACTTCTCGCTCTATAATCGCGCGATTAGACAGAGACGGCGAAAAGCCATACGGATGGATACAGCGCGAAGATGAAATCGCTGAGAGTATTATCGCTTGTGCAGCAACCGGCGCGCCTGGAGGTGGAGCAGCATGTGGGCGTGTCGTGTGTCTCGGGCGGCCCGGTTTTCTGCCGGGTGAGCCTCGACCGGGGCGGCTACGTGCCCGGTGAGAGCATCGGCATCTCGGCGACGGTGAGCAACCGGAGTAAGGTGACGATGAAATCGACCAAGGCCTCTCTCACGGAGACGATACAGTACATGTGTCGCGGCAAGGTACTCGCCAGCGAGACTCGCGAGCTCGCGAGCGTCTCCAGGGGCAAGATCCGACCCGGCGAGGGCGAAGAGTGGCTCAACGAGCAGATGTACGTCCCACCGCTACCCCCGACCAACCTCCGTGGATGCCACCTCATCAATGTCCTTTACCATGTCTACGTGAGTACTCGGTCTTATTGGTGCGCCTTCCCTGCCGACGCCGTCAGCCCCGTCCTCTTCGATCGCCTTATATCACCGTTTTTACATTAGTGATCCTTACCTCACTCTCGGCGGACTTTTTGCTCGATCACGATGTCAAATCACGATCGCTTAATCGTCCTTACACAAGAGAACCGCGTTTAGGAGAAATTACCGAGCGCTGCTTGGATAATGCTGATTATACATAATCACTTATTTGATCGGCTTACCTCGAGATTATACGTGATGTATATCCGCGTCTTTTTTTTTTTTTTTTTGAAGAGATCTCGACATTGTTCTTCGTGCATCATCGGTATGTCCTCTCTGCTTCTCGCGCTGGATCCGTCTTGCACTTGCAGTGCCGGGTATTAAGAGACTTTTTTTGAGACACCTTGTACTACTACTCCATTTATATAACGATAACGAACATTTTTCTAAAATTTGCAGTTTATCATTACTCCGAAGAGCCTCGATAAGGAGATCAAGCTCCAGATTCCGATCGTCCTGGCGACGTATCCGCTGAGGCAGGAGGGGGCGCCAGTTGGCACGGCACCATCAAAGCGGGGCGCCCACTACCCGTCGACCCTGCCGATCTTCCGGCCCTGGCTCGACGATAAGGCCTTCGACGTCGAGGATTGAGTTGTCGCGACGCCTCAAGTTAGCAACTTGACGACCGCTGGCTAATTAACAACGCTGGGCTAATTGAATGTCGCGGTAGTGGTCGATGAATGTTCGATGGCCGAGGCGCGTTCGCTTTGACATTATTGTCTCTTTGTCGTAATTCGAGGCTGGACGAAAAATAATGCCGGAGCCTTGCAATTATTAAGTTTTAAAATTTAATGTAGCGACGGGGTCGTTTAAGAGCTCGAATGACGTTTTCGATTATTTTAATGACGCCATTTAAGCATGCAATAACATTGTGCAATGTGAGTAGCGGAGATTTATGCATTTTTGCGGCTGTCTGCTATTTGTAAGAATTTAACTGCAGCCGATGACGACGTTAACTGCCAAATGCAAACAATTCAATTATCGAACATATAGAGTCGTTATATAGATTTAATAAGGCAACATTAAATACCATTAATAATGATTAAGCTGCGCCAATATCTATCTCTACGGCATGTATATAGATATAAGAAGTAGTATATACAAGTACTTTAGATTTTAAGTAACGAAGCATTAAATTGTTTCATTATAGCATTATTTTGCAATGATGCAATTTTCTAATTGAAATTGTACATAAAATGTACCGTCGCCTTATAAAGATAATGCCATAAAGAGCGACGGTTCATGCGAAGTAAATGAAAATATTATATCATTTTAATGCGTGCCGCTAAGTTCTACAAATTCTACACATAGTATGACTAATTGTGTACCAGAAAATATCGTAACTTTATTGTGATATAATAATAATAATAATAATAATAATAATAATAATAATAAATAAACAATGAATAATAAATAATAAATAATCAATAATCAATAATCGATAATCAATAATCAATAATCAATAATCAATAATCAATAATCAATAATCAATAATAATAACAAAGTGAAAATTATATGAGAATAATATGTGTGTAAGATATTCGGCGATTGTTATTAATTCATGCGCGGGTCTTAATTATCCGCCGCTTCAGCCTTCAATTTATTCGTTACCTCTTCCACGTTACTGCCAGTCACGATAATGATTTTTTGACGACTTCTCGAACCCTGTGGACGGACGACGTTAATATTTAAGTAGCCTACATTTTAACTCAATTATTAACAAAATACTTGGCTCACCTTGTCTAAGCTGATGTCGGACTTTCTAACATTCAGTACGCTTGCCAAATATTTCACGAGTTCCGCATTAGCCTCTCCTTCCTGCGGTGGTGCGGAAATTGCAATACTTACGGCCTCTTCCGAAAAATCTTGATGGGAACGATGTTGCGCCATCATGTAAAACATTAGAAATTATTACATTTACTGTTTATATGCAAGTACAGACTTAATAATTCCCATGCTGTTACATACAATTTCAAGTTTCCATTGCCTTCTCTCTCTCTCTCTCTCTCTCTCTCTCTCTCTCTATATATATATATATATATATATCGCAAATTGTTTTATCTCAAGAGATAGAGTTCGCGCTACAGGCTAAGGACGTGAAACTTTGAAATATCAAGCTTATCGATGACATATTTACCTGTTATGTTATTTTGCTTAGCTCCCGGCTTTGCCTGGATTTTTATAACGACATTGCCACTTTTATCAGACCCAACTGGACTCTAAAATTTAAAAAACATTCTTTTCTTGTCATCGTGCGATTCAATACCAGCAAAGTACTCGAACAACATCGTGAAAATACTTTATAATTAATTGTCTTCTTAAAATTCTTATTGTTCATCCAGAAACAATTGTTATTTATGTAGGAAAAAAACAATTTAACAAGCCACTTATGAACATTAAAATCAATATTAAAAATTATTATTTATATCCTTATGATTTTACGAGCAAAAGTAAAATCGAAAAATATTCATTAGAAAATTACAAATTATCCAACCTTCTTCTTACAAATTTCAGAATTAGTTTATAATAATAACCCCATTTTCATCAATTAATAACCAATATGGGGATTCGTATCGCGTTGCACTGCCAAGCGTAAACCCTTCTTCTCCACCTTCTCCTCCTCGTCCTTCTCAACATTGTGTACTCGGGCGAAGCCTTACGAGTCTACGCCTACCGCGAGCCCACGAAAACCGTGTCCCAGTCGCATCTCTCCCGCCCGTCGACAGCATCCCGGCGATGCAGACTCAGTGCCGTACTCGCGAGATGACGCCACCGTCATACCGACGATTTTACCGGTGGGGAACACACGGAAACAGCTCCTCCACGAGAGGAGGGGAGACTTAACACGAACGTGGTGTTATTACGCTGGGATTATAACGCGTGTCGCGAGATAGAGAGGCGCATGCTCATCGACTCGATTCTCGAATCGACTCCGTTTCTCTCTGCCCAACAAAAGAGAGAGAGAGAGAGAGAGAGAGAGAGAGGGAATAAGCGGAGGAGGAAACGACGGCAGCAGTAGTGCATCGCGCCGGAGACGGCGGAGGAGACAGAGGAGGAAGTGGAAGAGGAAGAAGAAGAGGAAGAAGGGGGTGGCGGGGGGAGGAGAAGGAGGAGGACGACAACCACGGATCGGAGCTCGTCCAGTGTCGCGTGCGCGGTCGCCTCTCGAAAATGTCGGAGCACGAACTTGACAGGTGATCGTGTCGACGCCGGTCATTCCCATCCATCCCGTCGTCACCACCACCACCGCCAGTCATATTAACAAGCGGTAAGCCAGCGCGACTTACCTCCGTCCTCTTCGGCTGGATCACTCCAGCCGCTCCGGTCTTGCCTCCCTTCTTCCCTCCCTTGCTCGACATCGTCCTCGCCAGAACAGCCCGAAGCATCCACGCGGCCGTTCAATGCACGGACACCTACCTCTGGAGCTGATCGACCCTCCGTCCCTCCAAACTATAACCTCTTTCATTCTCAGGCGCGCGCGCGCAAACACACCGAACGTGAAGAAGGAAGCGGTGTCCGAAGTGCGCATGCGGGCTCTCGCTCTCGTCCAACTTGCCAATCCCGTGCCCTTACCCAAGTCCTCGGCGGCGCTCCCTTTCAAATCGTATTCGCTCCTTCGCCATGGGGCAACGAACAACGGTTTCGACGTGCTCGTTCACCGCGAATTCCTATCGATCGTTTAACCTCGCGGCACTGTCGACCCATTATGACCATCCTTTGTCTACCTCGGCAGTTCGCCGGTATATATCCTTGACTCTGACAATATCGCGCTATCATTTTATTATTATTTTTTTTTTTTTTAAACTATCGGCTAACCTTTCTTGCTCGCCGAATCTATCCCCCCATGTCCCTCGAGTCTATCGTTAGCGAGAGAGTGAGAGAATTGCTTTATTTAAACTTCGAATGCGAATAATATGTTAGGCGCAAGTGCGAGGGGTACGAAAACTGGCCTTGCGCCAACATTTATGTAATTAATATCAAGAGAAATTAGCCAAACGCGTCACCGTTTAGCGATATACACTGATGTAAACATAAATAAGTAAGTGTAGGTGACAATGGGATGATCGTTGAGATGTGAAAAAACTTTTTATACCGGTGGCACGATGCGCATACTAATGAATTATGACCAAGATGGCATAAAGTAGGCAAATGCGCGCGAGTAAAGCCAATAGCGTCGCGCCTCGATTAACAAACAAATAGCTAATAATCGATGATTAAAAAAGGAATATGTTTATTGCTTATGATTATAAGTTAACGTTCCCTAAGTGGCTGCTGACTTGCGCGCGTAAACGTCATTAATCATTTGTTCTGTTTGGCAGTTGATGAAAATGCCGAAGAAGTTCGTGGGTGAAAATAGCAAGGCGATGGCCGCTAAGGCGCGGAAGGCCGCGGCCAAGGAGGCCGAGACGTCGCGCAAGGCTCAAGAAGCCGAGGATAAAGCTTGGCAGGACGACGACAAGCAGCTACAAAAGAAGAAATTGAAGCAGGTACGTGAAAGATCTACTCGCGCTTTAGCACTCAACGTTACTATTATCAGTATCATAATCATTATTATTATTATTATTATTAACGAAAAATAAACAAATAAATGAACATTTAAAAAAAATCTGATTAACGCGTTTTTTTTTTTTTTTTTGTTTTTATTATAAATGGCAATTAATAAGGGCGAGTCTTATAGTGAATTTCTAGAGAAAATGAAATAAATGTGCGTGGTAACGGTAATTTTGTGACGATATTGTGTCACCGAGTCAACGGATAGATTATCGTATCGATAAAATTACTCTCAACACTACTGTAAGAAAAAAAAAACATAATTAATTTTGGTCGAACGATATTAGCGTTGAGGGTTACAGTATTTTGTTATTAAGCGAACTGAAAATTATTATCGATGGTAAATTGTAGGAAGAGTTGGAGAAGAAACGAATTCAGCAATTACAGAAGAAAGAGGAAGCAAAGGCCCTTCTCGAGAAGGAAATGTCATCGATAAAAGTCGGCGGAAGATCAGCGACAACAAAAGTAACGCGCGCTGAAATTATAGAGAAACGCAATCAAGTTACCACGAAGAAGAAGTTGGAAGAGAAACCCTTAGAAGAAAATTTGAATAGAATAGTATTGGAAGGTGAAACAGCTCATGGAATCGACGAAGCTTTAGCTATTTTAAGGTATCAAGAGCCATTTGTTTAATTTACAATTAACAATTTTTTATAATTTTACAAAGCCGGGTTTTTAATCACGTTATATTATCACACCTGTGATAATATAAAAGTATTGTAATTACAATTGAAACGAGGAATATACACAACACACGCGCATTAAACTACAGCCGTTTTTATTGTAAATTTATAAAATTTATTTAAACATTTTAATAATAGTGCGTAACAAATTTGTTATAATATGTACAAGATGTAATTAACATATTTCTTCAGTCAATTAATGACTATGCGCTTACCTTAATTACACAGCTATTTAATTTTGTTATTTTTATTATTAGACTGTAAATAGCGTGGCAATGAGCAATTTATTTAAATAAAACGTTTAAATTAATGTATTATTAAAAAAATAATTATTGACTGGTTAGTTTGAACATTAACTAAGTATAATACTAATGTTTCTAGCGGCTTAATCGATTGTTGATACATTGACAAATGCATATAAATTATTAGACTTATAATTTTCCATATTTATGTTAATCTGGATTGTGCTTTCAGCGTGAAAGATCCGGAAATCGATCGCCATCCAGAACGTAGAATGAAAGTTGCTTATCTAGGCTTCGAGGAGCGAATGATGCCAATCCTGAAGGATCAAAATCCCACGCTGCGTCTCAGCCAATTGAAACAACTCCTTAGGAAAGAATGGATGAAATCCACGGAGAATCCGCTTAATCAAAGAATTCATAGCAGCTAATAATAATAATAGGACAATCATTTTGCATAATTATGGGACTTATTTTGTGAAACGCGCGCTTTTCAATCACAAACGATGTTCAAACACAATTCTAATTATAAATGAATAATTTATAATGCTTTGATGACGTAGAATACATGTCGAGTATAATAATGTTATGTATAAAATCACATCTTTGGTACAACTTGCATGCATTTAACGATTAATCACCCTAATGTCTTCAAAGTGAGAGTCCTACTCTCGTGTCGTAGACGGTGACAAGATGAAAACTTGTGCGATTGCTTATTTTGGCACGATCTCTCTCTCTCTCTCTCTCTCTCTCTCTCTCTCTCTCTCTCTCACTCTCTCTATCTCTCTCGTTGAAGGGGAGCCAGTACGAGACAGATTGCTGATTTCCAGTTATTGCGCATGGAGCGAAATATTCAAACAATGTTCACCATTTCTTGTTTTTCCATAAGTCGATGAAGCAATGAATCATGTGATTTAATTGCTCCGGGCAATCGGTCATCGGCATGTGACCTGCAGTCGGGATTGCTTCCAAAAAAGCTTTAATCATCGTCTGAAATAGAAAACATAACTTTAGCTACTTTAATTTTTTTTTTACCTTTCATCGTACAATCTTCTTATTGTAAGAAGTATTGAATAAATAAATATTCATCCTCTAGCAGGATTTTAATGCATGGCTGTCGTGCTAATAGTTACAACAATAATCTTTATCGTCTTTATTTATTAAAAGCTTAAATTTAAATTATATCACAATGAATGTTTATATTATTTGTTGAATTCAGACACATTTACGTTCTATATATATGTACCATTCAACAATTATGTATGCTATATAAATACTAAGCCACACATATTGATTACAATTATTGAATGCAATTTATTGAAACCAATTTAATCTAAAAAAAAGGTAAATACTAAAACTAGTACAAGATGTTTAATCAATATATACATTATGCGAATGAAATGAAGAAATATTTATCAGCTCATCATCAATGATGGCGTTTGATAAAAAATAGTCTGATATATTTTTCCACAAGTTAAGCAAAATTATCTAATAAATATAAAAGTTCGACGTCGTCAAGTTTAGATTATCCAATGTAAACAGGTGGACAGATAGCTTTTCATTGATAATGTTAAATTATTTATAAGTATACTTCATTTGGAAATACTAACGATAACGATAAAAATAATAAGAATTCTTTCAACTAATAATTACTATTTTTACCAAATTCTTTTACATTCCTAACAAGAAATACCGTGTAACGACAGCTATCTTAAAGCCATAGAATTGCAAACAACTAAGTGACAGAAAATAAATTCATAATTAAGATGATAATTATAATTTTTATAGTAACACGAGAAACATGACTAACTATTACGGAAAAAATATAAAAATTTTTAATGGATGTTTCATAAATCCTTTCGATGCTTTGTCATTTCAAACTTAATTAGTAAAAAAAAACTCAGTCAAATCACACGTTAGCATATTAAGCAATAATATTCGTTAAACCGGAACACATATTAAACAAATACAAATATGAAGTAAAAACAACTGGCAATCATACCGCGTGGATAATGCGCTCTCAGAGTGTCATGAAGACAATTAACGCGTTATTAAAATTTCGAATTTTTAAAATTATTTAAACAAATAATTTTTTTCATGCTATTACAATTACACAAAACAAGTTTGTCGTGTTCAAACTTCATTTTAAGATCCCTTTAAAGGTTACAACACTGTGACTAATTTAAAGTTCTCGCCACATGAAACACGATAATAATAATTGCCATTTAATAATAAGTTATCTAAATTTTATTTTTAAATGTACTTCTGTACATAAGTAACATTCTTCATTTATAAGACTGATAAAATAAAAACATAATGTTTTTCTAATACATTTCTATTTGACAGATAAAACTTAATATTCACACGAATATTATAAAATAAATGCATAATTTTCATGTCCTTAATCTTCTTGATGAATTGATTTGACTTTGTAACAAATACAGCTAGCATTTTTGATAAAGATTCTTGAAATAAATAAATAAATAAACGGCAAAGTAAATTATTTAATTATAGGTATAATATAATTAATTATAATTCACGGTAGTTTCTACTATAGCAGTTAAATAATTAAACATTGTACAGCTATTTGATTATACTTAAAATAAAGTTTAATCAAACAGCAAAATCATTTGCACAATATAATATTTAATTTAATTTAATGTTCAATATTGTTCATTCTTTCATATTCTTCTAATATGAAATAAATCAAAGATAAAAATATAAAAAATCTCAATACTAATTTTTTCCATAGCGTAAGTCACTTATTTTCAACTGGTAGTTAAATTTCTTTTTTTCTTCTTTCTATTTAATAATATTTATTTAATAAAATATCAAATTTTCAAAAGCCTTCTTGACATGTCTTTTGTGTGACCTCATAAAAGAATACGATTTTCGTTTTGTTTCTTTTGTTTCCGAAGGAAGTGTCAGGCGTTGTTTAAGTTTAATTTAACGCTTGTATTAAACTATTTGTTATCATTAACAAGTAAGCGCCTCTCACTTAGTCACCGATAAGCAGCTTATCGACAATAATCAACAATGAAATTGAAATCTAATCTTATTCGCGTTCAATTGACTTTAAAATGTAAAACGAAGTTTTTCAAAGTGTTTTCCCACGGAAGATGGAAAATTCATGCTCAGTAGCGCAACTAAGAAGCGTTCGAAAGCAGCAAATCGATTCCGTAGTGTGACGACATCGGGCTCAAGTTTGAGTTGAACAATGCGCCGGGAAAATCAAACTCACCCGCTCCATCTGGCACTCCTGCACGAGCGAGACCTTATCGTCCCTGAGCCCGTGCACAAGGAGCGAGGGCGTGCTGATCCTCCGGTGGTATACGTAGTCGCCCTCGGGCCACGACATGCCCTTTTGGACGTGGCGCATGTGGGAGGGCCACTGCTCGTCTAGCAGCTCCGAGCCGCAGTAAGGATGCTGCCGACCCCTAGCCGAGTAGAGAATCGTCCGCTGCATACCGCAAACGAGGAATGGCGCGAGACTCGCCCTCAGGCAGCAGTGTCCGGGGCCCTCCGTGAGGGGGGGCGCTAGGGGCGTCGGACCTCCCCCCGATATGAGAACCAGCTGATGGACGCTGCTCGTGTACTTGCAAGCCAGCGCCGTCGCAAAACTGCACCTGCGCACATTCAACACTCTCAATGTCAAGGTCCGCTCCCTCGATCCAAATCGATGATTTTTCATGGACGTTTAATGAACGGCATGAATGTTTAATAAAATAAACGTTTAATAAAACGGCATGAAAAAAATTCAATAACGGCAGCCCTTACACGGCTCAGCATTGGCGCCTCTTACATTTACAGCCCGAGCTTCGGTATATCTTTCAAAGCATTTTCTCATTTTCCCTCCTTAATATGGAAACGGGATTATTGATTTTTCAGCGATCAAGGATCAAGACGTTTTCAAAAACAATGAGCTACTCGATTATTAATGTGCGTTATCCGTGAATGTGATTGCTATAAAAAGGCAACGTAAATTTTGCAGGTCTCGGCTGTGGTGGTTGACTTTGCATACATTAAAGTGATTGGAGTACTACTAATGAATTTGGTCGTTTGTATGATAAACGAAATGTATGAGCAAAAAATTGAGTTTCGCGTAGGTATTGTTATGCTTTCAGAAGCTTACATTTACAGTTGTCAAAATTTTTTTTTTCATTCTCTCTTTAACTTTCACGACACTTTATTATCCTTTTATTATATATAAAGACTAAATGGTGGATAATCTTAAGCAAATATATAAAATATAATACACGAAATATATAAATATTGTATTGTCTCTTATATTAAATTTAATATATCTTTTTGTCTACGCGATATATTATAAAATGTAACTTTAAACAAAAAAAAAAAAAAAAAAAAAAAAAATTTAAAAATATTTAATTAAAAAAAAATTTACAGATATTTAATTGATTAAAACTTAAAATTTTAAATGATACATATAATAATAGTGTTAACTATAATTGAACTTATTTATTGAATATTGTAATTAAAAGTCTATTAAATTAACGTTATGAGTCATCCCTGGCCATATTCAATGTAAAATAATTTAACAAATTTAATATTAATGATTTTAATTTTGAACTAAACTTAAAACTAGATCCTATATTATTTCTATTTAATCTTTTTTTCTCTGTAATTAACTAGCACTAATTATTACAGGCGGCAATATTTAATAAATATTTAAACAATTCAATGTCGAAAGTAGTAGATCTGCTTAAACAAAATTTAAATTTACGACTATTGCCTAATGTAAGATATTGTTTATAACAATTTTAGAAAAACTTACTTGTAAATGTAGAATATATGCATTGTAATTACAATAACATTTTAATTAAAAATTACGGATTATTATGATAAAAATTTTTTTTGTTAATTATCGTAAAAGCATAATTACATAAAAAAAAACTTTTTATTACAATGAAGGTTTTAAGAATGAAATAATGCATTGCGTTCCCTAGTTAGCCAAAACAATAATTATTTCCATAGTCTCCACCAACAATATAATTATTCGTCAGAAATGGATTTTATTAATTAATTAAGCTTATATTAAAAAGCAATAATATTTTTAATAACTCAAAAATACATCTACTAATATAAATTATGTGGTGGCAAATATTTTTGATAATTAATATGTAAAAGATCGTAACCAACAAGATTTGGTTGTAAACGTTAATTCGTAATTCGTATTGTTGATTTTAACTGTATTTAATTGTATTTAATCGAAGCTTTATTAAAAAAAAATGTAATATTATTTTACACAACAACTATCATTTGGAAGTAGAAAAAATGTAGAAAAGATGAACTCAATTATAATATTCTCGCGTTGGTTGTAAAAAATGTGCAAGGAGTATTGCGATATTATCATGGAATAAATTGTCGTCGTTGGTTCTTTACTATTTCTCATTGTCTATAAATGGCTAAAGTACAAACAGCATTGGGTCTTTAAATCTTTCATAACACCGAGTGACGAAAGGTAATTAAAAGAGCGATAAATTGGGATAATTTATTTTTCAATCGGTATTTAGGCTACTTTATTGACTAACGTAAGGAATTTCTGTCACCAATGTTGAAAGCAATATTTCTACCTGTATTTATAGTTATAAACTATGATAAGGAAAATGTTTTGTAAACTAAATGATTAATTGTCAATTTGTTTATCCTTCAGAGCATATTAATACACCTATAGAACAATACAAATAATACTCATTTATCTTTCATTTATTGTTAAATTTGATATTCAAGTCTTAATTTTACGAGTTTAAATTGATTCGGGTTTTAATTTATTGATGTGAAAAAACTCTTGTAACAAGGGAAACGTAATTATTAATTTTTATTCCAACGGCTTATAGCAAATTTCGATTTTCACATCTTTCATTAAATAATACATAATATTCTTCGAAAGTATACTAACATCACTCACGTTATATAAACAAAGTTGTCTATTTTCGTATTACTTCAATTAGTTCCAGTACTTGATCAATCCAAGAATACATTTTATATTCCTTCTTCATTAAATGAAATTTATTCGGTCCTAATGATTACACGTATACAAATGCATATTATACAGTATTCCCCCCCCCGGCCTCCCCCCCCCCCCCCCCGTACAATGTAGTGTTTTAATTCAATTAATTATCTAAGAAAGAGAAAGCACAATAGAAAATACATTAATCGCTTGCAAATGAAAATAGGCAAAGTGTGAAATGTAAATTATTATGATATGAAAACTCCTGAAAATCATAAATGTGCCACATTTAAAAGTATACAAGCCTTTGCAGCACTGATATACCCCGTCTATTTAATGATTTTACATTGACAAACTGTAATAAACATTTTATGCTCGAGAGACGATAGCCGCGTAAGAGTATTGATAAAGCCTAAGCTCGTTAAATAACCGTTATGCAAGACGTGGACGACCTGAAAATCCATTCTCACCTTAGCAACAAATAACAAATATCACTAATAATGATAATGATGTACATAGGAGGAGGAACAGTAATTAATGCATGGTATAAGGTCTCTAAAGCGTGCGGCGGGAGGGGGGGGGGTGATAATGGCGAAAACACTCTGACCTGATATTGCGTCTGCCAAAATCCGATGATTATTGCACATCATCGTTTGCGCATGAGCATAAGCATTATATAAAGGATAACGCGTGCGCTATTGGCACCTTACCCGTAATTGTGTGCTACGAGTACGCACTTCTGGCCGGGCTTGAACGCGTAATGTAGCAACACGGCCTCGAGATCCTTGAGCAATTTGTCGAAATGATAATCCCTCGGGCGGCTCGGTGCCGAGCTCAAGCCGTGCCCGAGCAAATCCGGCGCGATGCACGGATAGCCGAGATTTGCAAAGTAACGCAGCTGGTGCTCGAAGGCCTCGGCCGATGAGCCGAATCCATGGAGGAAGACGATCATCGGCTTATAGTGGCGATTACGCAGAGTTACTTCATCGTCACACTTGGGGTGGCGCTGGCGATTTGTCTCGGGGATAGGGAAGCGTCTTCGGTAATCCTCGAGCTCGAGCGTAGCCCTCGGCGACGCTTTTGATGAGGCTTTAACGGTGCTGATGTTGCTGTTATTATCACTGGTATTGCTGCTTTTGCTGCTGCTGCTATTGCTGGTAGTAGTCGTGGTGGTGGTGGAGGTGGTGGTGGTGGTGGTGGCGGTGGTGGAGGTGGTGGTGGTGGTGGTGTTTGTGTTAATGCTGCTGGTACTTTTACGGCTGCTCTTATAACAATTGGTCTTGCCACTTTTTTGGCAATCTGTATTCTTTGCTTTAGAAGATGCGTCATTGTTGTTGTTACTAATGGCTTTGTTCCGGGAATTGGCTAGTTTCGTGGCAATTCTTTGACGGATAACGAACATCGTCTTGTTGACTTTAGATGTTACGTTGGATGATCGTTTTTCTTCGTTCCCATTCGAAGTGCTCACGTCCCTATGGAACTCGAGCCTTAAGCCGTTGAAGGTCGATTCATCTATCAAGTCATCAAAAGGCTTTGAAGATCGTGGCGTTGGCATTGTTGGATTCGCTGTATTCTTTATTGTCACCATTTTTTCTTTAGCCGTGATTTTCGTAATTTCCGGTGATACTCGATCGACACGTTCGGATATGTCATTTGGCGGCAGTTCCGAGCCACCCGTCTTCCTTGCTTTTGCCTAAAAGTATTCATTCTTTAGTCACCTCTCTCGTCTTTAATGATAATGCATTTGTATATTGCTTTCACTGTCGACGTTAATTACACGATTAGATTTTGTGTGTGCGTGTGTGCGCGCGCGCGCTTAATGCAAAGAGTAAGAAATAAGAATAACTTAGTTTAAATCATACTTACGATTCTCGCATCGTTAGTTCTGTCGATTTCCATACCAAGATCCTCTAATGATTTGCCAATGGATGCACCACCGAGTTTCGCATCGATTATGTCAAGTAACGATTGTTCCAAATTCTGCTCTTGCTCGAGCTGTAATTCAATAGTTTCAACGCTATTGATACCCGAATCCGTGCAATCGGCATTCTCTAAAATAACATCAGCGTTCAGCCTCTGCCTGAGATGAAAATCCAAAGCATCTGGATCACTCGCTGAACCAATAAATCCCCGATTTATATAGCCATTGTTTTCTTCGTTCGAATCGAGCTGAATATGATCCTTTGTGTTAGCCTCGGTGATTTTATCTCTCACATTACTATTGTCTAAAGCAAAATTCACCTCGAAGGTCGAGGTTTCCTTTCTCGTCGCTATCATTTGCCTCCTCTTCGGATCAAAAGGATTATCAGCTTGTGCAATCGCCCGAATGGTATCGTTCAAAATCTCATCCAATAAATTACTGATGTACCTATCCAAATCCCTCACAATTTTCCTTTTCACGTATTCTTCCAGAGGCTCTGCCTTCATCACCGTCGCACATTTATCCGACGAGATCTGCGATTGATTCTCAAAGCTACCGTGATTCGCCTCATCCTTATCAGTCAAAGGAAGTTGAAGCTGGGCTAAATCGAGAACGAGACTCTTTTCCAACTCTTCGATATCCTTACCGCTTTTCTCGGCCTCGCACAGACTCGTCCTGATCCTCTGAATCTCCTGAGATATGAGTTTCTCCTCGTAGCTGCTCAATCTATTGCTGTTGGTCGATTGCCTGAAGGAACATCGACAGTTTCCAGACGGATGTGGTCTCTTGGCCCAACGTAAATAAAAATTATCATTAAGCGACTCTGTTCTATTGTTCAACGGCTGAAACTCGTAAAAGCGTCCACTCTTCAGCTCGGGACGTAAAACTCGCAATACGCGACGAGGTCCGACATTGAAAAAATCGCAATCAGGTAGCTCGACCGGCTCCGGATTCACCTGGTTGCGGTTACGCTTAAGGTACTCCAACATCTTTGAGCACCAGACTTGATTTTGTGATTCCGCGGATGGTATCGACTCAGCCTCCACCGACATCGTCGTTTCTCTATTGCCCTCGGTAACTGACACTTTGTTTTTTCATGAAGAATGTATCGCGCCAGTGAATTCTGTAACTTTCGTTTATATTATTTAAGATATTTCAACATAATAATTCAAGCAGTAATTAGTAACCTTATTTTCATTTATTTTCTAAAACTCCAATTTTCAAAAACATTAAATAATAGCACTTATACACACACACACACATATATATATATATATATATATATATATATATATAGATTTATTAATAAATGTAGGCAAGTAACAAATAAACGCTTTTTTCATACTAATGGCTGAAATTATTAAATTTTATTATTTTATTATTAAAATTTACCGCATCCTAAATTGTATATTATCATTCGATTTATGTATATTTTCATCTTATTTTACATTTTACATTTTACAGCTTACGGATGGTCTATTTAAATTTTTACTTTTAATAAAGTGAATGTTGCCGCTATATATCGCATACGTACTAATATTTGTTAGAAAAATATAACGACGAAAAAGTAAAAGCATTCGTTTAATGAAAGTATTTATATTCTTAAAAATATAAAAGATTTTATAAATACTTTCACAGTCGAGTGATTTCATGTAAATCTTAAAGAGTAACGCGATTACATCAAATTCCACTATAATATTGCGGATTTTCAAACAAGTTTTCATTTGATATATGCAAGTTATTACAGTTTTATACTGAATGAGTTAGTTTAATACATTTTAAACGTTACAAATAAGCACAAGTTCCATTATTTGTACACTATTCTTGGAAACGAGAAGTCCTATTATAATAATCACAAATTACATATTCGTATATAATAAGTAGACACAAAAATTCTAATACTAATGAATTATACGTGTATTTTTCTAAGAGTGCACACATGCACGAAACGCAATAGTAAACACGACAATCTGGGTAGCTCGATGTATAGTAAATGGTTCGTGATGTTCCCAGTTTGAGCTTACAGTGTGAAAGGAAAGTCGTCCCTTGATAATTATGCAATAACAAATTTAAACGGCAGTAAGAATGTTGTTAGGATCCGCGTAAAAGGAAAAGAACTTTGCGAAAGAATCTAACGAAAACTGAAAAAGTTTTCACTAGCGCTTGTTCGCCTCAAAAACGAAGACATAAATACGAGCGATCGCGTGAGCTCCATTCGCTCATCGAGAGCGTGAGAGTAAATACACGATGGAGAGCGAGTTAGAGACAGAGAAGAGAGACAGAGAAGAGAGAGAAAGAGAGAGAGAGAGAGAGAGAGAGAGAGAGAGAGAGAGAGAGAGAGAGAAAGAGTGATGGAGCCTACGCGCGGTCGAGGGGGCAGAGACGAAAAGTTCGGTCGAGTCGTCGTCCTACAGCGTCCAAGCAAAACTGCGCAGCGATCGCGACATATCTGGCGCGAAAAACGAAAGTCGAGGATGTGCAACAGAGACACCGCGTCCCCAGATCCTACACATTAACCGTAATTGGCGTCATGGTCACGCTTCGGACACCCGATCATCGCGTCCCTCGAGGATTCACCAAACTCGCTTTCCAATCTAGAAAGGCGGACTTCCTGACAGACAGTCTAGTTCCGCACGCCCAGTGGATAAACACGACGCACACTCAGAGAGCCCGTGCGCGCGTGTGCGCGATGTCGAGAGAGAGAGAGAGAGAGAGAGAGAGAGAAGCAGAGAGAGGCAGAGAGGCAAAGAGGCTTTATTCTCAGGTGAGGTGCTTTCTCCTCTTAGCAATACCGTGTGTCGAGGCTCCCGATCGGCTTCCAGCGTCCATCGCTCGCTCATGTTCGTCCATCCCGGTACGACTCGTCCTCCTCCTCCTCCTCGTCGGCGTCGCAGCGGGTGCTCAGTCCCAACTGGCAATTTCCAGTCGCAGACTCGCGGCCGAGTCGTGGACGACGAGTCGAACGCGCGCCGCATCGGCTACTACTGGGGCCGCACCTCGCGGACCCGCTCGAAGGCCCGACTCTCTTCCGGCGCACAGCTCACGCACGCCCGGGTGATCCGACCGTCCTTGGGTTCGGCGAGAGACGCCGCGCGGCGCTCTAGTCGGCCGGGGCGCCATGTTGCATTCCCGAAGTCGATCGGCCCGTGGAGGGAGTACGTCGGCATTGCTCGCGACCTGGTGTCTCCCCGATGGGCCCACGCGGCTCTGTCGCCGACACCCAACGCCGATGCACATCGGGTAGAGGGATTCGGCCCTTTTTTACATCAGCGCCGGTCCAGGGTCACCGCCCGGGAGAAGGGCGACCGAGCGCGAAATTGAGAAACGGGCTTTGAGTGGTTTGGCTCCTTATGTTATCCGCGTGTCGCGTGTCGCGTGTCCTTCGATACTTAAAGGAGCGACGACGCCAGGTGAATAGGATTAGACTCCCAGTATACTAGAAACTCCTACCTCCGACTCTTATGTGACGAAAACGCTTGACTTTACTCGTCACATCGTCGCCGAGGAGGGGAGTACACTCGCTTCATTGCCGATTCACTGTACTTCGCTTCTAAACCAAAAGACCTCTTATTCTTAATCAGAGGTTAAATTTGGCTTTTAAGATTAAATGTAATTTAATCGGCCCTTCCGTCCATTACTAATCTACGAGCTTATAGTCGTTAAGATAAGAGAGAGAGAGAGAGAGAGAGAGAGAGAGAGAGAGAGAGAGAGAGAAAATAGCTTATTTAAGACGCCGAAAAATGATGAGTTGCGCGGCAATTTATCATAATTATTTGTTGGTAAGAGGCGAGGATACCGTAGCTGAATATTTCATAATCCATAAATGAAACTTGGACTTTTGTCATAAATAATTATTAATCGTTGACTGCGAGTGAATAACGAGCAATTAATGGTATTTTCAAATCAACCATATAAAGATTTTTTTAATTATGATAATAATAATAATAATAATAATAAATAATAAATAATAACACGTGATGATGTTTTACTTGGAAAATTGGTGATTTTGCGGTTTTTCTTTAAGATTGCAAAATTCATTTGCCAATAGACAATTAACGTATTATACTGCTTACGATGAAGTTTTAAGAAATAATTATAACATAACCTTATAACAGTAATTATAACAGCTTATAAGAACTCGTCCGTATTATGTAACAAACATCAATTTGTAATACTTTACTTCTACTAACGAATCATAATAGTAAAAAAATGTAATGAAATGTTTCCAGCTTCCTTGTTATTATAAAGTCATTCGTCAATCTGTACATCAGCATTTTATGAAAGTGTGATATAAATTTCGGCGGAACCTAAAGGATCGGAAAATACAGGTTAATGAGAAAATAATTGCTCTGTTAAAATTTCGCTGTACGATCGATGTTAAAAACCATATGTATATCGAAGGCAATTATAAATATCGTAATGTTAAATAATTGTAATTATAAAGCATGATATATTTATAAAACGGCTCTCATTCTACTGACACCACTCGTGACCTCTCATTTCTTCTCGTACATTAACTGTTTTGTATTCTTCCGCACCAGCCGCCCCGCCCCCCCCCTCCTCCTCCCACCAAATGCCAATTAACTAACGTTCGCTCAAACTATATCTGCTCGCCTCTCTCTCTCTCTCTCTCTCTCACTCTCTCTCTCTCTCTCTCTCTCTCTGTCGATGGTCATTAATATTTATAGTTGAGAAGCAATTTATTAAATAAAATGAAGGATTCCAGTAATTTGTACATTAAATAACTTTCCCATTAAAATCGATGTATTGATAAAATGTAATTTTATTTTAAAATTTGTTGTAAAATTGCCATCGTCAGCCAACGATGTTCGATTTATGCTCTCCAAGCTATCACGAAACTCATCTTTTAATTTTATGAAATAGACGCTAGAATAATACAGCCCCCGCACTAAGAATTACGAATACCTCAACTTAACGGACCCGAGCAACATATCTGCTCCCCCCCGCTCTCACTCTCTTTCTCTCTCTTCTCCTCTCCCAACCCAGCCCACCGATAGCCAAGTTTTCCAGCGCTCAGCTTTCCTCCTCTTCGATACCCAGGACACGTATTTTTCATTTCTTTCGGGCTGCTTTGTGCATGGGTTCGTGGAGACGGAATAGTAGCCGGATGGTCGGGGGAGGGGGGGGGGAAGCTGAAATGGAAGCCAACATCGATTTGACTCGCGCACAAGTGCGTCCCGTTAGAGTGCAAGGGACACCACCGATGGCAATCGGACGTAACGTTGGAGTTACGTGTCTATGCGAGATGTGGCATGGAGCCGCGAGATGGAGCTCGGCTCCATCCTGGCCCTTGCGCGCCACTCTCCTCCCTCTTGGCCAACAACTTCTTCCGGCCAGCACCATTGTCCTCCTACCCTTTTCCCTCCATCCACTTGGCTTCGTCGCTGCAGCTTCAACGAGCGGACGACTTTACGTAATGGAGGAAAAGCGATAGATCGTGGGCAAGGCACCGCGACTACACTTTGATTTTTCAAACGTGCGTCGCCGGACTATTTTCATCCTCATTCAATTGACATACATTATATATATATATATATATATATATATAATACACATATATAGCTGCCTCTCCCCTATGTATACAAGTCACATAGACGTAGAAGCTTGACCTACGCGCCCTTTACACAAAAGCATAAATCGATGCTAATGAACCGGGTAAATTAAGTTTCGAGAGCTGCAATTAAAAGACGAACCTGTTTCACGCGCCTCTATCATCGTGACAAAATATTTTAAAGCAAATAACAACTGCAAGATACATTCTCGCTTGCTTTGCCTACTTGCAAGTTTTGCATCTCGACCATGTAAAAAAATCTTCATTTATAAAATTTAATGTCTGTGTGATATGAGATTTTAAGAGTATTAATAATCATATAAGATATAAGCCTGTCGATTAGCATTTTTGCATTTTTATATCAATGGCCGATTGTTTATGCAATTGTAATTCAATATTTGTAATCATTAGGCTATCGCATAAACACTCCTTCACTCCTTAAAAATACATACGTTGTAAATTATAATAGAAAGACATTTACAAGGAAGTAATTAATACATTTTTCTTATATCTGCTTATTTGTTGTAAAAGAAAAAAAGAAGATAACGAAGGGGAA